CTCCCTCACCCGCTTAAAAAAACGGGAATTAATTTGCTCTAAGAATGTTTTAATTGTACCTTCTCATAAAACACCTTTTTGTAAAGACAACGCGAAGACGTTTGCGTTCTTCTCAATTTTGAGACCACTGCACAATTCACGAAAGTTCAAACGAGTAAGTTATCCTCCCTGCAGAGTACATTTTTTTTTTCTTTTCGGAAACATACTCAAGTATGTACGCATAAAAAAATATACATACCTGTGGGGATGTTTATTTATAGCTCCTTTATCAAACAAAACTGAGCTTTAAAGACAGGCATTTTCGCTTCTTCCCTTTTATGTCATCCGTTTAAGAGAGGGGGAAATGCGCCAATGTACGCGTATACCCCTGTGCATACGAGGAACATCCACCTGCACAGGCATGTATAAGCGCATATATATATATATTCATTTACTTGTCTACTGATTTATTCATTCACTTATTCTTTTATTCATTTATTGATGTGCACTCCTCCACGCACACTGGCAGCTCTGTAGACCGAAAGAGCGAAGAAAAGACCCATACAATTAACCCACAACTGTGCTGCCACAAAATGAAAATCAAAAACCTCCTGCTCAAAAAGAGAAATGATCTCTCAACGTCCTTCTGCTTGGAGTCAGAAACGAATGTGCTAAAGGACCACATTCCGATCCATACGTTGAAAGAAAATCACAAAGCTAAAGTGTTCTACAGTTATAACCTCGTGGATGGTTATAAATACAAAATAACTGTAAAAAGGAAAAAATATAACTTAAAAAATGCCAAACTTATAATTTCTTCACTGGACCATCCATATATCATTAAGTTGATTCACTGTTGTGAATATGCCTCTTCTTTCATCAGCGTCTTTGAGTTTTTCTCAGGTACATCCCTCAAAAATGAGTAGTGTAACGATTGAAGATAAGCGCCTTTTTTTTTTTTTTCTACTTCTTTGCCATTCCAATCATAAGTTAAACCTTTTTCGGTTCTTTTTCCCTCCCCTTTTAACCCCATTTATATGCACTGTGAAGACACAAATTTATACTCCTCCGTAATCCTCTCCGCAAAATATGATGAAAAGAGGATAAAGAATATAGTATATCAGGTTATTCTAAGCATTTGACATAATCTATTAAACTTCATAGAAAACAAAAATACGATTTTAAAAAGAGCTGTCATGCTCAAAATATTTCCTATACCTCACCACACTGTGTTAGTAGTATACCACACTGCCTACATCTAGTATGTACACACCTTCCAGCTCTTCCCTCATCCGTTTTGCCACCCTCGTGCAGATCATACGAACGGTCCATTACCTGCACTCAAAGAACTTAGCACACAAGTAATCAGCACGTCATGCTCGTAAAAGGAGAAGAGCTGAAACGGAAATGTGCTTCTGTGGGCATACGTACTTATGTACTATATACCCCTGTGCAGCTGTCCTAATAGAGGCTCTCCTTCATCCCCAACGAGCAGGCAACTACTTCCCCAAAGTTTCCTCATCAAATCCGTGCATAACGAAATGATGATTAAATTGGAAGACGTGCATAAAATTAAGACCTATTCTTCGAGATGTTAAAACATTTTTAAAATTTTACAAAAAAGTGTGATCCAATTGTAGTGCCCACTGTGGCGTTACAGCATTTTATTTATTTATTTTTTTTTCCCCCCAACACACAGCCAATTCAAAAATTAGGGGCCAAAACGTCTACAGCATTGGACTGATAAGTAATAACAGGAAGGGGGAACCAAATGTGCAGGAGTGAATTGCCTTAAAAAAAGCATTAAAACAAATCTTCAAAATAATAATATATAGTTAATTTGTTCTCATAACGAGAAAACTTTTTTTTTTTTCTGGTGCATCACCATTTCGCGCAAAAAAACAACTCCCAGCAAAGCTCAAAAGTGCACAACGAAGGCATTTCCGACCAATAGTGATGCACCCTTTTAAGGAGCTGCAACTTATTTGTCCTATTTTTTCCCTCCACACATATACACCCTTTACGTGTAGCGTATTTCCTGTTGTGCGGCCAATACCCAATATTCTACTTTGAGAATAAAGCAAAAAAAATTATTTTCCCAAAAGAACTGTTAGTTTTTTTTTTCCTCCAAAAGAACACTCTTCCATAGGGGAAGACACATCAAATATTAACACCATTCATCGCTTTGACAATGTAGACATCTCTTTCCACCCCTCCTAACGTTTTCTAATTTGTTTTTTTTTTGTTTTTTTAGGTGGGAAAATATCTCACCCAAGGGGAGAAATTTTGTGCAAAAAATACTGCTCAGCGATGTCAGGTTAGTTTGGAAAGTCCCCCCCCGAGGATATTCCTACGTCGGGGGAAAAAAAAAAAAAAAATTAACCACTTTAGCTAGTTAAGCCAAATGACAAATTACAACATGCGCGCTGTTCAAATCGCCTCTCCCAACAGCTCCATGATAACGGCGCGGGACGCGCTAGATGACGTAACTGAAAGAAACAAACGAATTTCCACAACTTTTTGTGTCTGACCCCAAAACGCAAGCAAAAGGACAGTGTGTATGAAACCATTATTTTTCACTTCACCTGTCCAAGGAATGGTTTAAGGAGAACGTCAAGCAGAACATTTACATTAATTTTGACGTGCTCAGGAGGTAGGAATTGCCTACCCTCGCATCACTTCATATGTATATACATACACACACAGATACATTGATACATATTTATATATGTACGTTTCCTCATTCACCACCCCGGTGACCCACCCTTCTCGCCAAACCGTCCATTAGCATTTACGACTTTTGGAAAAAGAACGCCTTTAAAAGATACATCCTGAACAACATATCCAAGTTTGTAGTGAAGGAAGATATATACAGTAGGTGAACAAGTGCACGTGGTTATTGGCGCCTACACAGATTACCCCACGCCGTCTGTGTTGTTGCACCGAAGCTATACACCATTCCACGAACACGCCGACTTTTAACTGGTCTCCTTCCCTATGCAGGATATAACTCCCTATTTTTCTACTTTGACATAATGGAGGAGGGGTCAATAAAATATGTGCAATATTTCGCAATAATGAAGAAATTGGGCCTCATGGACGCCAACGTAATACTCGCTTTGGTGATTTTCTCCGCAGAATTATGTTCAAACGAGCAGTTTTTTTTAACGACATTTCCAATTTTACTTTTCTTATCAGATACAAGCCTCGTTTAACGGACTGGACATTTCCAGAAGTGGACAAGTGCAATTCAGCAGTAATAGATGTGTATTTCTTTTTTTTTTAAATGTGGAAAATTCGCAATTTAGCACTTTCGCTACATCACCCCAAATGTACATCCTCCTCCCCCTCAGACATAATCGCTTGTCTTTTAAATGGATTTATAAAGATTGATAAACGAATGGTGTTAAAATTTTTTAAAAAAGTGGACTACGACAATGAAGGTAGGGGCGCCGCTGCTTTACACACCTCATATTCAGGACAGCGCTTACAGGGCAGTCCACTTTACGCATCCACATAAACATGCGCATTGGCACTTGTGTACGTATGTCCTAAATGCTTTCCCCGCTTCCCACTATCAGGAATCATCACCAAAAAGAAGCTGTACAAATTTTACAGCATGAAATGTAGAAACGAAATCGGCTCCAACAACAAGCGAAAATTTAGTAAGATTTTATCATTTACCCATTTTGGTGCTTTCCATTTTTCCATTTTCCATCTTCATTGCTCTGTCAAATGTTGTGCAATTTTGATTTCATTTCGCAAAATAGTCATTTGGAAGAAGCCCCCTTTTTTAACTATTGCTGCGCGTAATTAGTTCTTTGAGCTTTATATAAATGTACCCCCCGTAACTGCCCTGCACAGCGAGTTCCTTTTATCAAAATTGTGTACACATAGACTTACAGACGCGCATGTAAGTATGACACATGTATATTGTGACTCAGATGCAGCTGCACCTACCATTTTATGCACATTTTCGTTTAGCTTTTGAAGAATTCTTTAACTATATAAGCAAGGAGTAACGGAACAAAGCGCATTTTTTCTTTTTCTTTTTTTTTTTTCTGTTATTTATAAAGGCGAAGTCTCCCCCGTTGTCGAATGGTAAGGAAAACCATTATAGCATATCGAAGGTCAGGCACACTTTATAGGCGTAGTTAAATATCTTCACTTAACTTCGACCGCCCCTTTATATCAGGTTTAGCTAAATGGTTAAAATACGGGAGGACTTCACCAATTCTTTAATTACGTGTGGTTTATTTTTTTATTCTTCATTTTAACCACCTTGCCTTTTCACTTCAAAAGGAGTTAACTTTTATTATTATTTTTTTTTCCTTACACACTCATTTGAATGTTTATGTATCCATTCTTTTCTTTTTTTTGCCCCCCGTGGATGAACTTTTTAAGCTTCTAAGTTTTTTTTATTTGCCCTCTTTCGACATGTCCTCCTCATATTTCCCTTTTCCTTTTTCATTATTTTTGACACATTTTAAAGTAAGACTTCTATTTTTTTATGTAGTACACCTTTCGAGTGACCTACGGGTCACTTTCTCGTTTATTTACAAGCACAAAACAAACGCCTGCTTTGCGTATGCACAGAAATGTATATTTAGTGATAAACACACAATTTGCGATATGATTTTTTCTCTTAAAAAGTATGAACGTTTTCGTAAAGTGCTGTTTCCATTTTAGAAGTTAAAAAGAGCAGAAATAGCATAAATGCCATAACAAATTATATCCGAAAGTATAGCTTAAAAAAGATAGTTTCAAATAAACCATTTGTATATAACTTCTTTCCTTTTGTAAAAAGGCACTGGTTCTGTGCACAAAATATTCGAAACTTGGAAAAAAAAAAATTATATCAAAAAAATAGTTGAAAATTCCTAAATATTGAAAAAAAAAGAGGGGGTGATAAAAAAAAAAAAAAAGCCAAAGAAACGCAGCGCGTAAGAAAATCAAACTTCTGCACAACCAGCATACCAAAGTGGCCGTAATGAACTCGCAAAAAAAATATACAAATACCACAATTTTCTCTGTAATTATTAAAACACCTAAGACAAAAAAAGCTTAAAAGTTTTGCGTACGCACCACATGTATTGTAATGATTAAGTGGTGTAGTGTATGTTTTATATGTATATAAAAATCGCGCGCCAAATTTCTCAGCATTTTTCCCCCCCCTCCCCAAGCGTAATATTAAGAGGAGTTTAATATCGACTTAACGCTCTAGATTATTTTGCCGTGCGTTTCGATACTTTGCCACACTTTGCCACACTTTGCCATACTTTGCCTCACTTTGCTGTTTTATTTTTTTTTTTTCTTTTTGTTTCATCTTATATATTTTTTCCTTACAAACTGCGTCACTGACTTTTTCAAGAACAGAAAGAACACACATAGCAAATGCCATTCTGAGGCCACATATTCATATGTACGTACGCACGTTTGTATGTATTCATATACGCTTACGCTATTTTTATAGTTTAATATAAACCCCTCGACAAATTACCACTTTGTAAAGATTTTAAAATGGCAAAAATTACAAAAAGTTTTGTATTGTTACTTATTTTAACAATTTTGAAAATATGCTACTCTCAAGATGTAATCGAATTGAATGACTCGAACTTTGAAAATTTGACGCAAATATCAACGGGGAACACTACAGGTAATATTACCTCTCGCGAATGTTCGCATGAGATTTGCTCGTGCTCCCCTTCTTTTAAGGCCCCAAACGGGGTTGCACGAGGGGAACAAGCAGAACGAAGCGCAATTTTGCGTGTCCTTTCGCTTCCTTCGCTTTTGTTGCCATTATATTCCGCCCGCGCTACCTCATCCCGTTGTGCCACACGATTTGTGCAACTCATTCCGGGGGCTCCTATTTTGTGTGAATCGTACACTGTGACACCGCACGTTAATATAACCCTGTTCTTATTTTCCATTGCGATGTGCGGCTCTTCCCATTTTTATGTCCACCCAATGGAAATAACCTCATATGCACTTCTTTCCTTTTCCCTTTAACAGGATCATGGTTCATTAAGTTTTACGCCCCTTGGTGCTCGCACTGCAAAGCCATGACGAAGACTTGGACCCAACTGGCCGCAGACTTGAAGGGAACGGTGAATGTTGCTAAAATTGACGTCACCACAAATTCAAAGACAAGAAAAAGATTTAAAATTGAAGGCTTTCCAACAATCATATATTTTAAAAATGGAAAGATGTACGATTATAAAAATCATGATAGGTCATTAGAAGCCTTTAAAATGTTCGTGCAAGAAACATATAAAAATGTAAAGTCCTCAGACCCACCTAAACCTCTCAGCTATTTCGATGTTCTCAAAGACATGGCAAATGAAACCTTTTCAAATATTGATAGAATTTACAAGTATGCCTTTCCCTCACTCATGGCCATTATCGTTGTGTCATTTTTAATGGGATACATTTCAGCTTTTCTTTTATACAAATATTGTTGGTGCGGGAATGCTTCACCAGATAAGCATGCCAAAAAGAAAGATTAAGTTGGAGAAGCCGATCAACCTGATTTGCATAACCGTATAACCTATCATAAAAATGAAGGAAAATTAAACAAAGCTACATTCAAAAAAAAAGAAAAAAAAAAGTGTAATCATTTTTAATGTACGCATATGTACATCCGGGTACATATGCTGAGAAGATTGAAAAAGTCTTCCCCTTGTCTCCCCGAAATGCTTTAGGGGTAGTGATCGTGTAAAGATATTCTGTAAAACGAAGAACAGACCAACAGTTGTTTTGCGTTATTCTGTGTGCTTAAAGTGTGCACATATGTACAAAAGTGCGTGCGTAAATCTGTATATGAGTATATATATATATCTTTTTTTCACATTCCACACTTTTTATTTACTCGCATTGATGAGGCACATCACTCGTGTACCATCTGCCCCCCTGCAGTTACGGCTGCCACATCCACCATCTCAAACAGGTCTACTTTGTCCAGCCCATTAACCTCTCCTCCCCCCTAATATGCCATACCTACAAATCGCACTCACAAATGTTTTTCAAAATAGTAAAATTAAAAATACCTCACTCTCTTTTTAATGTATAACACCAAAATTTTAAAGTACCCCTCCCTCCCTCAATCATTATACATTATGCACTACACATTGTGCAGTGTTTCTCCCCCCTTCTATTTCCTCTTTTTTTTCCCCATTCATCGTGTAAAAATATTTAACATTAAAGACAACTTTATGTTTACATACACATTGGTTAATATGTGTTCATATGGATATCATAAAACGAACTTTAATGTTTTTTTTTTTCTTTTAAAATTACAAATCCTTTATTCCATTAAAAAGGGTTTCTCCGTTTACATTAGCGGTTAAGTCGCACTGGTAAGGAGCCAAATGAGGCGAAGGAAGCCTTCGCCGGTGGGCGCAAACGCGAACCCCGCCTCGAAGGAGGTGCCACTAAAAATATTTTAGTCGACTTTTGCGTTCTTCACAAAAAAAGGCGAGTTCAAATATGTGTACAGTGTGCACATATAAATAAATCTGTACATATGTGCAGACACACGGTTGCAGACAGAGATGTGCATTCTTATGCTCACGCACGAGGGCACCTTCCAAAGCAAGCTTCCACTTTGAGGCTTGTTCGAAAAAGTGCTAAACGCTTCGCACGCAGGGGGATTCAAATATTTCGAAAAGGTTTACAAAGAGGAGAGACGGACTGCGCAGCGTTGTGCCGTCCCAGCAGCTCACATACAAGGCCTCGTGCCTGTAGACATGTGCGTCTGCTGGTAGGTGGCCAGGTTGGCAGGTGGTGAACTCGCTGTGTGCACGCTTCCATTAATAACGAGAAAAAAATACGTAAACATATTCATAAAAACAACATGTTCCACGGGTCAGGTGCACCTCTTTAATCTCTGCTTTGCAGCAAGGGAAGAACAGGTGCCTCTCCGAGCACATGCGTACTGTTAATAGTACACACATCCGTTTGGCTACCCCGTCGAAAACGCTGTTCTGTCATCCCTAAATGTGGTAATTAAAAAAAAGGCAAAATGAGATAGCCAGACAGTGGCTATACTAATGGCGATAATGATAACTAGGGAAGGGGGGGGCCGTTCGCTTGGCTCTTAAAGGGGATTCATCTGATATGAACTAATGGGGGTACACCCCCCCCCCTCTTCTGCTCAGTCAATCTGCTCGGCGATACGTGAACTAGAACAAAATGTACATGGGGGAGGTTGCAGCTAGCATAGCCACCAAACGGAGCAGTACATACACCATGAGCCCATTTCGCCACAGTGAACCTAAAGTGGGAATCCCCAGATCGTCACATATACTTGCGCGTATTTCCAGAATAGCTATCGTTCGAACTGAAGTTCTTATACCTATTTCTGTACTCTTTGTCACTGTACATGGGATTCACATCGTTGACATCCCTGTTGGTGTATAAATTCCCCGGTTTTCCGATCGGCGACTTGCTGTTTTCCAGGTCCCTGGCGAAGTGACTTCCATCGTTAGGTCCTCGATACATGTCACCATGCGCGTTCGTATTATGCGTAGTGCTATTGCTGTTTAAATCCATATTCACATTTCGGTAATTATACATATCGTTTTTTAAGACATATGGGTCGTATCTACCACCGCCAATTGCGTTGGAGTGGTACCTATTGGAATTATGCGTGTAGTAAAAGTCGTTCATATTCGCGTGGTCGTCACTCATTAATTTGGAGCTGTCAGCTGGGTCTTGTAATCTGTTATACCTGAACCGTTCAGGGGAAGCATAAAAATTGGGGTTCTTCAGATCGCCTAAAATGGGATCATCATTATCTAAGTTGAACATACGACCACTTGTAGCCTGCTGCATATGTTTCGCATCCGCATGATGACTGTACGTATGCCTCGTGTTCACATAACTGCTGTCATTTACATTGTCGTCCTTTTTGTTAAAAATATTTATTTTCTTCAAGTAAGACCACTTCTTGTCGGATTCGTTCTGCTTTTTGCTGCTCTCATTTAGGTAGTCACCGTAGTTTGGGAAGTTTGTGTAATCAGGAACCTTAACCGAGCTGTTAATATAATAATCCGTGTACATGTCGTTGTCGCTATACTTGGGGCCTCCCTTAAATTGGTAGGGCAAATTCCCATTCATGTGGTCAATGGGGGAGGTGTAAAAACTTCTGCCTACATTTTTCACAGGGGTCTTATTCAAATAGTCCTCATTATCGCCCATGTAGTGGTTGAATCCTTTCACCGGGTTTCCTAAGTGGTCCCTATACTCATGCATTCTGCCCTTATTATGGTGCAGCAAATGGCTATTCATCCCAATCGCCCCATTCGCATGGCTTAGATTCTCCCCCAGGTGTTCCTTGCCCATGAATTTGCCCCTCGGCCCCAGGGGGTGGGGATGACCAAAGCCATTCACTCTAGGAAAGTAAGGCAAATCACCGCTGTTATCATTAATGTTGTATAGAAAAATGTTCTTTGGATTTTCCAACACCTTGAGTAGCTTCTCGTCGTCCTTCCGGAAGTATTCCTTCATCTTGGTCACTCTGTTAAGAGAACTGTACGAAGCGTATATAAATTTGTTCTTGATAGTAGCCCATTTAATGAATAAGAAATATTCCGTCTCATTAAACTTGGTGTTTATTACGTACACATGCAGGGGAAAAAACATTTTTTTGTGATTCTTAATTATGTAAAGCAAGTTATATTTGATGTATTTCTTCATCTTCTTCGTATTGACATAAATATAATCATTATATATTTTCCACTCCTCCTTTAGGGAGGACTCCCTCTTCAAGTAATTCGCGTAGAACATGTGTAGGGGGTTCCTGTTGGCGCTATACGGATTATTCTTTAACATTTCCAACGCCTCATCGTCTAGGTACACATTCTTCCTTATCTTGTAAATGTACACGTAATCCGTCTCAGTATCCAAGGCTATCAGGTGTTTATTATCCGACTTTTCAATGGTAAAAAATCGGATGTTCAGAAAATTCCGGTGACTATAATCATCCGCTGCGCTGTAATACCTGGGCAATAAAACATTAATAATATTTTCATCCTTCAAATTGTACAAGTGCTTTTTCACATCTTTTATGTAATTTATGAAGAGTTTCTTCATGGAGAATTCCCCCCTGGAGTTGTCTCTCCCCCTCCTGTGGGCTTCCTCTCCACTTTCACCAGAATAGAAGTGGCTATTATTCCCATCCTTGATGGTAGAAATGTAGTTGTTAAAATCTTTTATATTAATGTGCAACATATTCTCAAGGTTCACATCTTCATCATCCAAATTGTTTCCGTTTTCTATCAGTCTTTCCAGTATTTTTATTTGCTTCATATTGTTTTCTACGTCGGACATGTTATCCTTCAGTAGGTTCACACCGCCGACCAAGGTATCTTCACTTCCGCCTACGCTCATCCCTCCTTCTCCACCGCTTCCTGCACCGCTCCACACATCTGCATTCAAATCGATGATAACAAAATTGCAGTCGTATTTGTAAAAGTAGTCACTCATATGTTTATTCCTCTTCTTTTTCTTCTTCTTGAACAAATGATGACTTCCATTTTTCCTCTTCCTCCTTTTCTCTATTTCGCCCGTGTATAGGTATATGCAGTTGCTATACAAATGATACTCACAAATGGAGTTCAAATAAATGGCCTGCTCCACGCAAAACGTCTTGACAAGAGAAAAACTGTTCAGCCCATCATTCTTTAGACTCTTCTCGTACAAGTACACATTCCCATTATCGGTGAAAACGGAGTAGCAATTATTATTTATCCACAGAAAGTTCACAAACTGGGAGTTAAAACAAATATTCGGAATCTCATAAATGGAGAAGTAAAAAAAATTGCAAATGTAAATCGTTTTACTTGTTAACACTAGACAAAAAAAACCGTTAGGAGCGAATGCAACTTTTATCACCGCGCCGTTTAGAAAAATCCTCTTGCTCAGTTCGTACGAAAATTTCCTATTCTTCTTCGAGTAATAATCTATCAACAAATCGCAATGACTAATATTGCTGTAGATGATTTTCCCGTAAATGTATTCCACTTTTCCAGTGTTGTACCCCAGAACAAAGTTATTAATCAAATTACAGTTATTCGAGTTATTGTCAAAGCACACACACGTCACATACTCGCAGTTGTTCCTTTTGTCTTTGATCAAATGGGAAGGCGAATTGTATACATACTCTTTCAAATCGGACAACATGTAGTGTTCTTTCTTCCTATGCATGTCTACACTATCGGACATGGTCGCCGCATCGTCTTTATTGCTCAAAGGGGAGTAATCACGATGAAAAGTTTGCTCACCCTCTCGAGCAAACTTTTCTGAACATTCGTTTTCTTCATAAATGAACTGCCTCGGATTTTCATCATTGATAACCATATCAGGATACTTCTTTTTGATATTTTTTAAAATGTTCGAAATTAATATATCTGTGTATTTTATATGCTCCCTTTTTTCGTAACCCAGAATTAAATTGCTCACTTGTACTCTCTCGTTTTTTATTTCTACATTACCGATGACATTGTTAAAATTGTTTTCTATCTGCTTAAAATTAATAAATATCATTTGTGCCTTTCCCGAGAATAGGATGTCTTGAATTAATTCCCCCTCTTCGTTTATGCTATTTTCGAACTTTTTTAAAAACTCCGTGTACTCACTTGTGTTGTTGCTGATGGCAGTTGCTCCGTCTCCATACCCACCACCCCCATTGTTTGCAGAATAACCCTCTTCAAATAAATTGCCAAAAAAGAAATTCCTAACTCGTCTCATCGAATCTAGGAATCGACTACCCACTCCTGCAACGCCCACTCTTGCATCACCACCTCCTTTTCTCCCCTTCTCACTATTCAGTATCTCATCTAACTCCTCCTCTTTTGTTCTTATTTGCCTCAATTTGTAATCATAGTCGAATCTATGAATGAATGGAAGAATCGAAGACAAAATGATAATCCCGTTGTCATTCGTATTATAATTGCAGTCAACGCAATTGTACACAAAATACGGAGCAATGTATTTTCTCCTTGCAAGAAAATCATGATTGATTAATCTTAAGTCTTCGTTCTTCTTTAAATATTTCATATAGTCCGTCACATTCCTATCGAAATAATTTGTCAATGAGTATTTCTTTACGTACGTGTAGTCCAAAAAGTTAAAGTGAAAAATTTTACTTAAAAACATGAAGATACTTTTCACCCAATCCTTAAAGGTAAAAAAAGTGTTACACAAGTGTATCAACATATTGTCCGACTCAATCATAGTCTCCATTATGACATTCTTATTTCCGTCTAACGTGTACTTTATTTTTGGATTCTCTCCCCCGATGCCTTTCTCCCCTTCCTCATCCTGCTTCTCATCATTCTTTATCTTAAATTTGTAATAGGCATGATCGTTTAAGTATACGTACTCTTCATTTTCTTTCACCAAATTGCCTGATATGTTACGCGGCTTCTCTTCTATCTGATAATACGTGTTCTCTAAATCGGTTTGATTAGTTATATATTCATACACATTCTTTTTGTTTGCGTGAATGTAATAGACAACTTCGTTAACCTTGGCTAGCTCGTTAATGCTACTGCGGTTGGAAGTGGCCTCTCGCTTCTTCATATCCTTCTCGTTTTCATTTTTTAATCTGTTCATGTATAAAAATTTATCATCCTTCTCGAAACCGCTAAGCGTGCTACTGTATTTGTCATACTTACTTTTTAAATAAAAATCTTTTTCCAATTTCTCCCTGCCAAAATGTCCTTCGTCGTCTTTCTTCTTATTCGACTCCTTCAATCCGTAGTCATTCTTGCCGTGTCCATCGACTTTATGGATTCTTTGCATAAAATCGTATTCCTCGCTGAAGTCGTTCATTTTGTCTGCTTTCCGCCAGGGTGCGGCTCGTTCAATTGGCTATTCCACCGCTCGGTTATATTTTCTCGCTAACTTCTTTCTGTATTTTTTCTTTCACTTTTCCGCATGTTTACGTGGCCTAGACGACTACGCTCGTCGCTTCAAGCCACCTTTGCCGCTTCTCCCAGGTAAGCAGCAATACAATTATTTTGGTTCTCACTTGGGAAAACACAAAAGGGGAAGAAAAAAAAAAAGACTGAAAAAAAAAACGCTTCCTAATTATGCTCACTATAGTTTCATTATGACAGGCTAAAGTGCATCCGTTTAGAAGCCGCACAATGGGACAACAAACTGCTTCTGCACAAGGGCTTTAATATGCATAAAATGAAAAAATAAAAAAAGGGTTGACGAAACTTTTTAAAAGGCGGCACAAATAAATAGGCATTTTTTTCACAATCGGAGGCAGCCATTAAAAGGCTTTCCAAGCGCTCCTCACGCGGTTTTCCCTCGTTTCTTACGCTTCTCCTGGCCAAAGCGTATTTCTCACCCGAAGGCGTTTCCCCCTAAATGAGCTTCCGCAGAGTTCCCCTTCCCCTTTTTTTCCTCGTCGCGAGAGAAAAATACATAAACATCTGCATACGCGCAGGCGCAAGTGCGAGCGCATAGGCACATATATATATATGTATATATATACATATATATACGGAAGGTAAAAAATATTGGGCCAACCTTTTTTGCCAGATTTGAAAATGGAAAAAAAGATAAGGGGGGTGGGGGAAACAAACAATTTAAATTACAAACAGGGAAAAATTATTTCAAAACGTACAGAAGGAGAAACGAAACACATTTGCCAAAAGTTAAGCGGCACATGGAGGGATGCAATATTTCCCTTCTCGCGCACTGCTATTTTAAAATTGCCGTTTCGTGTATTGAGAGCAATTTTTTTCAACCTTCTCGCCGAAAGTTTTTGCCCTGGGCATGGGAAGAAGAAAAATTCATCGCTGTGCGGATCAAACGTTGCAAACATGAATGTAAATACATGTGCATATGTATACAATATAATGTCCTTCTGCACAGCTTGTGACCATTTCTTCATTTAAGTACACGTATGCACATATTTCCCTTTACGTGGAGGATGGTGATAGAAATTATGCCAACCCTGCAATTGGCAGAGGAAGAACAGCCGTATAATTGTCCTTTAACTTTTCCACAAAGAAAAAAAAAAAAAAAAAAAGAGAGAAAAAGCTAACCAGAATTAAATCTGAGAAGCGGCTTCGAATAAAAGTTTTAAAGACGCCTTTCTCTTATGTGACAACTTATGTAAACAGAACTGCATAATGTAGTAGCAAACTGGCTTGGATTTTTTTTTTCTGTTTTTTCTTTTCTCCTTCCACAATGCAGATATTATATGTACGCATATCCGTCTCATACATGGGGAAAAATTTGTCATAGCGCTAACCATGCCAATTGGGCTCGGCCACGATGCTAACCCCGTGCATTTTTAAAATCATCACTACTGCGACATACCAAAATCCGCCCCCCAAGTGAGCGTCTTCCCTAGCCGTTTCCTTCAATGAGCAGTCTTTCCCGAGTTAAATTACGCATTTGCAAAGCAGCAGCTCGGAAAAAGTTACACATTTTTTGCGACGAACAGAGCTACGCTGATAACTTGATTCGCCTGTACATATACAATGAGCTAGACAGAAAAACCACAAATGAGAAAAACCCATATAGAGAAAATGTAAGTAAATATGTGGGAAAAGTAACAGCACATTTAAAAATTAACCGAGGGAATGGTAACATCATATTTTCGGTTGCCACCTTTTTGGACATTTTTTTCTTTAATTACTTCAAATTTAATCACAAGTCCAAATTGGTTTTTCTGTACAGCGTGCTCAACATTAAGACAGAAGATAAGTCTCCATTCTGTCTGAAGCAGGAACAAAATAAAAAAAAAAAATTTTAACACACTTGTGCCAAATTCTTGTAAACTTCGACACGAACTATGTACAGGAAATACGCCTAAAGTATGTAAACAAATTTTTTCAGGCAAATGATAAGGAAAAAAGAGACCTCATCACTCAGCAACAAAAGCTGAATTGTCACTCCCACGCCATTATCCCTCTAAGTAACAGAAGAACCTTCATACAGGACATACTAAACCAGACAGAGAATTTAAAAGATTTGTCAATTCTTATTTGCATTATAAGAAAAGCATCTTCCTTCCACACGTTCGATTGCTCCAAAATATTAGACTCCCTGTTGAGAAAGCTTTATTCACATATTAACAATTTCGCCGTGGCAGTGAAACCCAACGGTGCATATAGTTTAAGGTACTGCGCGTCCCTAATCCTAATCGATAAGATTAAAATAGAACAAACCAAAACGGTAAAGATACGGGACCTTCTTTATTCCTTCTACCAACTTGTCTACCTCCAGCGAGGCCAGAAAATCCAATTTATCTTTTTAAGAATTCTGGCCATCCTTGGCAAAAATTACGCGCACCTTGCGAGGGGCGGCCAAGGCGCCTGGGGGAAGGCGGCGAACGAAGCGAATGAGAACGAAGCGAATGCCAACCATGCCACTACCCACTCCCCTGCGTGCAACCTCTTCCTCTCGAACAAAGACATCGAGCAGCTCTTCTTCCTCCTCAGTAAGAATGCCCACCTGAACGGTCACTTTATGCACCCCCTAGTTATGCACTTCTATGTGAAGCTGTTCTCGCTGGGTCCCGCAGTCACCTACTTTAGCAAATTAATTAAACAAAACGGTGAAGCAAGTTATGCATTCTGCCCGATTTCTATGTTCCCAAAGAGCTCGCCAGCCTACCTAAAATTTTTAAAAAAAAGTGATGTGAAAAATCACTTCCACACCTTCTATCAAACGCTATCCATCAAATATTTGTTAAAAAGAAAAATAAATTTTTGTGAAAATCGGAGCAGCATTGACCATTCTGCATGCTCAGGTATCACCGACTCACCTCGTCTGAGCCATTTTGTACTTTACCAAAATATAGTTAACAAAATAATCGCTCGGTCTTTCTATCTTTATCAAGCAAAAATCAATCCAAAGGGGAAATACACTCACAAATGGCTGCACACAACTACAAACAGTGCACGTGAAAAATATGAAAAAAATTACCTCTATGACTTTACCAAATGTAAGTTTTTTTATTTAATATACATCAGAGCAATAATTCGAGGAAGAAGAAGCGGGAAGCCACTCGGAAAATCCGCACCACGTGGTCGGCGTCAAAAAGAAGAGCCGCAGAAATTATCAACGGTAGCAGCATCTTAGAAGTGGTACCCGCAAAGGGAATGTTTTGCTTCACCACCCCCCTTTTTCTTATTACGAATTCATTGCTGCATTGAGCGTGGCTATTATGCACAATTTGAACCTTTCGAAGATTTGTTCTTCATTTATTCACTTGTTGGAGAGTGTATCTTATGCCTCGCAAGGCACTCTTCCCCACACTTCCCTATATTTGCACGCACATTTTTCACCCAAAAAAGACCATCTTTGACAACTTCTTCGTTTGGTCCGCGTCCAATTGGATAGACAAACAGGATTAACCATTTATTGTTTATCGTTTATTCGTTATCCTTCATCGTTTATCCGTTATCCTTTATTGTTTATTGGTCATACTTTATCGTTTATTCGTTATACTTTGTCGTCTATTCGTTATACTTTATTGTGGGCCTGGTGTATGCCCAGAAAACCGCGCAAGCGTTATTAAAAAAAATGGAAACAAAATGGCGTTGAAAAAAGGGACTACATTTCAACGATTTAACAAAATGTGCCCCTCTCAAATGATGTTTGTGCTGTAATGACAAACAGAGTGCTAAAAAAAAAGAAAAAAAACAAACAAAAAGCAAACAAGTGAGTAAAAAAGAGACTAAACGAGAGAGTAACATAGTATAACGGCAAAGCCAATTGCGCAAAATGCCGAACGCGTGCAGAGGTAGTTACTCGTGTGTGCAAAAAGACACCCATTTAACTCTTCAGAAAATCCGCGATGTCTTTTAAATTATGATAATACTTCATAAAATTCTGCGTGTTCTCAAAGCCCTGTTGGGGTGGGGGAAAAAACAAGGGGGTGAAAATGATCGAATGGGGAAAGGGGCAAAAGGGGATGAGATCGGGTGGGAACAAACAAAAAGGAGCAACGCTCTTCACGTGCAGAACTTTCTCATTTGTCACTCTCCCACTGCGAAGGTTTACATAAACTAGCTTCTTGGCCGCTTGGCCACATTGTCAGTTTGCTAGTCTCTCCCTTTGTACCCTTTTCAAGAGGTTCAGCTCGTCCAACACCTTGGCATTCCTCGTAGTGGCAATCCACTTATTTACGTCTGCGTAAATCGGAAAAAAAAATAAACACGTATATGCAGAAAATGGGGAAAAAAAAGGGGTGCTCATTTTTCAAAGGCGAAAAATATGCTCCTCTCATTGGGGGCGACAACTTACGGAAAAAGGAAAAGAAAAACTCAAACATTAACACGTCCATTACGAATTTTTTTCTGAAAAAAGTTAAAACTTTGATGGTGTCCTCGATGGAGTAGGTTCGACATGCGGGGATCATAACTTTGTGTTTCGAGAAGTAGTCCAGCAGAGACAGCGTTGCTTCGGGGCTGCACATATTGAGGGGAAAAAAAATTAACAAAATGGGGTGAAAAAACAACACATGCAGGTTACGAATGAACAGAAACTAACGCAGACATGTAAGCAGTTTTTTTCTTTTTTTTTCTTTTTTCCTTTGCTTCCTCCTCTTAGGAGTCTATTTCGAAGCATCTTCCAACAAAGCTTTATTACTTTTTCTTTATCACCAGCATCAGGGCATCATGATATTTGAACTTCTTTAGGTAGTTGTTTATCTCTGAGTTAGAGAACAAATAAATCACCTCCTAAAATGGGGGTAGTACATTAAAAATGTGAAGTTTTGTTAAAATGCGGGGGGAATAACTTCATAGAATTTGCGACAAGGGTTTTTTTTCTATGTGGCTGCCGCTGCTATTGTTGTATTTTATTTTGTCTCATGTTTTCTTATTTTGTTCTGTGTTTTCCTATTTTGTTTTATTTTTTCTCGCGTCAACTTTTCATTGCGCCCATACCGGAATATCCACCAGAAGGTCGCTCTCCTTACGCTTCTGTTTTTTCTGTTTCACCTTCTCGTTGTACACCTCGATAAGCCATTTGCCATTCCTGTGTGGGAGGTAAAAAAATGGGCGTTCGTAAGTAGGCCCGTTCTGTGTGCATGCGAAGCGGCGCAAAAAGGGGTACCACTACACGCACGGAAATCCTGACATAAGGATTCCCCTCTCAGACGTACATTTCTCCCAGTGCTAGTACTCCATCTGAAAAGTCAACCGATTTAGGGGCATTCAAAAAATTAGCAATGCTCACGACTTTTATTCTCTGCAAAAAGGAGGCAATTAAAATGATTTCCATCGATTAACATTTTTCACACATATGTGTTTTCCCATTATAGGTGCCGTTTCGGTAAATTGGGGGGAAGCGCAGAAGATATAATAAATGTGTTACTTCCCAAATGTGGCATCACCTCGCAAGGAGTTTCTCTCTTCCTCCCCCCCCCTTTATTTCTTTCCTATTTGCACACATTCCTGATGCAAATTTTCCCCAGTTTTAGGAACCTTCACGAAGGAAAAACATAACTACACCGCTCATGCACGTACTTTCATGCCCTTGTAGAAGGGATCCACGAAATAGATGGACAAATCCAGACTGGCGGCCACAAGGTAATGCTTAAAGTTCCCCAAATAAAAACAAGTCTTGGTTGAAATTATCACATTTTTCACAAATTCGAGATTCTCCAGTTTGTAAAATTTAATTACATTCTTCACCGATAAAACGATGTAATTATTTTGAAATATATTTAAGCAGTCAACTGGTTCGTCTAACTCTATCTGCTTCACCTGTTTCTTCAAACTTAAGTTATATACATACACATAACCATCATAGCTGCAGCTGATTAGATGGGGATCTCCATCACTTCCATCAAACGTATGCAAACAAATACTCGTTATATTGTCAATGTGGTAATCTAACGTACGCTCACAGATGCCTTCCCATATGTTCCATATTTTAATGGTAAAATCTCGAGAGCAAGAATATAAGGTTTGAAAATTGGAGTTAAAGACTAAATCATTAATTGCTGCTTTGTGCCCACTCAGGCTTTTTATTCTTCCAAAGCAAAATATTCCTACGAGTTCTATGATCCCATTTTCTAACCCAACTCCCAGCATCTCGGCATCTCGGAACTTCAATTTTGTAATACCTTCTTGGCACTGGTACCTCTTATTTAATCTCTCTCCGGTTATGCTGTTCAGGATGACCTAACGGAGGCAGGGGCATAAAGCAGGGGCACAAGCAGGGAGGAGAAAGAAAAAGTAAAACGTGCGTGAAGAGAGGGTCATTCCGTAAGGTGATAAACTATATATAAAAATACAATTTTGTGTCTCCTCCTTTCACAGCATGGATGTACAGATACGCTCAAATGTGCAGTCATCTGCGTTAGGTTCAACCGTCACAGGGTGGTGGTACGGTGATATGCACGTGTACCCCGCTTCTTCGTTTCTCTCTTTTGCGAGGGGGATCCCGGCAAATGCTCGTACTAGCAGCACCGCGTAGGAGCCCCCCTTACAACTCCCACTTCTGCCTTACCACATTGCTGCAACCAATCGCAATGAACTTGCTACAAATGCTTATCGACTTGACACATCCCTTGTCATTTCCAGAGCTCAAAACTTTAAAGTCGAATAGAAAATCATTGCTTTCTTTGATCTTTCTTTTCTTATGGGTCAATATTACTGGCTGGAAAAACGACATTTTTCTCTTTGGTGTGGCTTTTGAGAAGTATATCCTATTTTTTTTAAAAAAGGGGAGGCCGTAGCGTAAATTGGGGAGGCAAATTTACGAACAGTGGCTTCTTTGGTTACTTGTCGTTGTGTTCATTTTCCGCATTCAGTAACTATCCACATACAGATCTTTACGAACAATATGAATATATTTTTTTTTATAAAGGCGTATGAATGAGAAACGTCGGGTTGCCCAAAAAACGCCCATTTCGCATGCTCCTCCCTCGATGACTCTTCTTCTTCCGTTTCCTTTTCCAAAATGGCTTAACCACAATCGGTAAAGGTAACCAGCGGGAAAATATACATACGTTTCTACATGTAATGACCCATGCGGCAACTGAACAATAACGCCAAAAAGGTCACATCAACGTGAATAAATTATATGCATAGAACGGGCGAGGTATGTATCTTCAAACGATTTGATTGCAAAACAAAACCGAGTGGTGGCAATAATTTAAAAATAGTTGTGGCGTCCATGGGAATTTTCTTCATCACTCTTTTTTTTTTTCTACAAAGGCGAAATATTCATGAATTTTTTTTTTTTTTTTTTTTCATCAAAAAAAGGAGAAACCCTCTTATACCCATTTTGCACTTTTCGTCGTTTTCCCCTTTTTGAAAATGTATGCAAATGTACATGCCTTACGTGTGCCCAAGCATATGTAGTATATTTATACATTTTTTTTTTCTGCGTGAATTTTTCTTCCCTCCATCGTTGTAGCTTTTTTGCCACCAGAGCCTGCAGCTGTGACGGCATATTATTTGTGCGAACGCAAGGTTGGAAGAAACTACATATGTTTATATGATGACTTATATTTTTTTCTTTTTTTTTTATGATATAGAAAAAGAGGAGTAGCCTTTTTCTGCAATAAATGTTACTTCCCCGTTTTATGTCCTCTCGCCCAAGTGGGAAACATAAGTTACAAGTACCATTATTTTTTTTTATTTATATTTTTCATCATGACATGAAAGCGGAACTTGCATAATAACCTCCCTTCACTCCTTCTTCTATCTTTTTACAACTTTTGGGCCCCTTCTTGCGTATTAGCAGCCCCCATGCAGCCAAGCATACACCCTCCAATGTTACGCTCACACATATGATAGGGTGTGTATACAGAAACGGCTGCTCATGTCGTAGTGAGTAATAATAAGCCGTTTTGGTGTGGTGCTTTCTACGCAAAGCAGTCCCTATAATTTCTGCATAGCTAGGCAAATCATTTCTGCAACGCATGCCATATCATTTTTGCAGCGCTACAAAGGCGGAAGAACAGACCAAGTCGTACTCCTTGGGGTTAGCGCAAAAAAAGGAAGACACCTTCCTGCCCATGCGCATGTCCTTCGATCAACCATTTTGACGAACCTCCATAGCCATTGTGCACATATGTGAATGATACATGTGTGCCATTTTGTACACATATAATATGCCCCTGTGGTGGAACTCCTTCTTGGCTTCCCTCCCCTCAAGGACATGCATCCAGCCATAGGGACCAAAAAAACAGACCTCTGAAATATGCAAAGTTACAAGTGCTTCAGGAAAAATGCACACCTACCACAACACTTTTTTTGTCAACATGTTTCAACTTTAAACAAAAAAAAGCACCTCGTCAGTTGCGGATACGGGAAAAGAACCCAAAAAATAGCAGAGCACGTTTACACTACCTTCGTAGCTACCCATCACACTAATCACAAGTGTCAGAAGAACGCCCAAAATGACCCCATCCCGAGCTCTCTAAAAAGAAACATCTCCTCCTATTTGTTACGAAAAATTAAAAAAATAAAGAAAGCGCACAACTCGACGGGTACTGAAGTAGCTAAGGAGAGCACCCCCTTGGTCCGTGGGCTCGCTGGAAGTAGAAGCTACCCTGCTGCCGCGGCGTATTGCCTCCACCGTAGGTTTTACCATCCAGAAAAGTATCTCCAAAAAAATGGGTCAACCCTAAACCGCGCGTACCACCATTTTAGCCACACACATAGCAGCCGAAAGGGAGAAGCTCACAAGAACAGTTCCCCCCGTCCAGCCAATCACAACAAAAGAGATGGAAAAAATGAAGAGCGTCATCGCGAACTTGTTCACCCCCGGAAGTATGCCAAGTGCAATGGTGTGGTGCATCCCGCGTATTACCCTCTTCAAAGGGGGATAACAAACCAGTGTCTACATCTGTATGTTCCCTTGAAATGGTTTGGAACGCACGTGGGGAAGGAGAGCCAACGGGAACGAGCCGTTTCCCGGGACAAAGCCGAGAAGGAGGGGGGCGAATCTGAATGGGGCGCCTACAGGAGCGATCACACTGCCAGTAGCAGTCCCACCGCGAGTAGCAATCCTACTGCGAATGGCAATCCTACCCCTAGTAGCAACCTCGCCTCGAATGGTAGCCCCGGCCGGGAATGCCCAGACCCCCCCCATGAAGAATACGAAGAGCTAAAAATAAAGGAACTCGAAAAAATATTGAACAACCTGGAAAAGATAAACGAAAATAAGAATAGCAAAATAAACATAAACATAAAAATCTTAGTGTACGTGTTTAAAAATTTTATACACAAAAATAAAGAGCTGAAAATAAAGATTTTTTTTTCCTTCATTTTTCTGCTATGTTCCAAAATATCCATTATATATACGCCAATACTCCTGTCCTCCTTTATTGAGAATGTCAATTTGGAAAAGAGTTTGACTCCCCACTTGGATGGACCGCTATTATCGAGCAACTCAAGTGTAATGATTCTTCTAACCTACGTCCTTTCACGTGTCCTGTCATCAGGCTTAAACGAATTGAGAAATAGCGTCTTTAATACGATAAGTCAGAGAATATCCACCTATGTGAGTAAATTATTTTTTTATAAAATTCACAACTTAAACCTGAGTTATATATTCTCCAAAAAAAACGGAGAGCTGTCTTTCATTTTTAACAGGGGATGTAAAAGCATCACCAACTTGCTGAACGTGTTGGTGTTTCAAATTATTCCCATAATTATCGAATTTGTTTTATACCTCTACATATTAACCTACAAAATACACTACAGCGTTTCCCTCGTTACCTGCCTGAATATGTTTCTGTATATCCTCTTTACCACCCTTGTCACCAAAAGAAGAACCATCATCAGGAAATTTATGAACAAGTCAGAACAGAACACGTTTAATATTTTCTTAGATTCAATCCAGAATGTTGAACAAGTAAAATACTACACAAACGAAATGCACGAATTGAAAAAATTTATGAAAGAGCAAAAGAAATATGAAAGGGAAGCCATCAATGTTCAGAAATCTTTATCCGTCCTAAATTTTGGCCAACAGATTATCCTAAATTTTAATCTTTTCCTCTGCCTTTACCTAACATATATAAACATCGCCAATGATGTTTTCCCCTTTAGTTACCTCATCCTCGTAAACACACTTCTGTTTCAGCTAGCTATGCCCCTGAACATGTTTGGGACGATCTACCGCGAAACCAAACTGAGCCTTGTCGACATAGAATGCATGATCAAAATTTTTGTCAAGAAAATTCAGTCTCTGGACTATTCCAGCAAATTAGAAATTCAAACTGGCAACATCAAATTTGAAAACGTCTCGTTTAAGTATCCTCCCATGGAGGAAAAAAACGACTCGGAGCTTCGAAAAAGTGAAGGAGCCAATCAGGATGAAATGCCTCCAAGAAGCATATCCAGATTCTCCGAACTGCTCAAACCCATTAGAGATAAGTTTTTCTTCCTCCCCCCAAGATGGCTCAACTCAGGGGAGCAGCCAATTCCCCCCATGAGCGACGAAATAAAGAACAACTTAAAGAGCACACTTTGCGAGAACATCCAAACGAGTTGTCTCACCTCGGAAGCGATTGAACCCAAGACCGACCCAAATCAGAAGGAAAATAACTACATCTTCCAAAACTTCACGTGTAACATTGAGGACGGAGAAAAGGTAGCCATCATAGGGAAAAGCGGACTGGGAAAAAGCACCCTCATAAAATTACTGCTAAAATTTTACGAAATAAACAGTGGCAATATATACATTGATAACAAAAATATCGAAAACATCAATCTGTACACGTTGCGAAAAAGCATAAGTGTCGTTCCTCAAGACACCATCCTTTTCAACAACACCATTTCGTACAACATCAAGTATGGCAATTTTCAATGTACAGATAAACAAATGATTGATGCTTGCGTCCAGTCGGAATTGCATGAAAAAATTTTGCAAATGGATAAGCAGTATGATACTCTTGTTGGGGAAAGAGGCACCAAATTATCCATTGGAGAAAAACAAAGAATTTGTATAGCTAGATGCTTTTTAAAAAATTCAAAAATTATCGTCCTTGATGAGCATGCAAGCAATTTAGACAATGAAAATAAAAAATCCATAGAGAAAGCGCTACAGAAATTATGCCTCGGAAAAACCACCTTTTTTATTACACACGTCATGGAAAATCTCCAAACCATGGACAAAATTATCTTCTTCAGTGCGAATAACATCTTCGTTGGCAACCACAACGAGTTGCTTATTGCAAATCCTTCCTACCGCGAGTTTTTCAACTCAAAGAATAATCAGCCGCTGTGATATGTGCGCGTGGAGAGCAGTACTTCGCTTAGCAGACAGAACGTGTATGTGTCTCTCCTTTGAGTACATTCCCCACGTTAGCTTGTCCTGGCCCTCATCATCGATACTGCGCAAACTTTAACAATTTTTAAGTACCTATACCGGAATTGCTGATTTGCTTACTCTTTTTTTTTTTCCAACATTTTTATGTTAAAAAACTTATTGGTGATTTGTGCAAATTGTTTTCTTTTTTTTTTTTTTTTTTTTTTTTTCCCTTTTGCGCGTTCCCAATTGTTATACCCTTTTCGCCGCGCAGGGCCACCTCCACGAAGTTATCGCAAGGGGCTAATCAAATGGGGATGAATAAAAACAAAAAAAAAAAAAGAAAAAGTCAAACGGGTCCACATATGAGCAGTCCTGTTGGCAAAAAGGTAGCTGGGAAAATACGCACAATGTTTGGCAGCCAAGACCAACAAACAGCTCGGCGCAACACTCACGCCACGTAACAAACACACTGGGATGTAGTAGTTTTTTCTTCTTCTCTTTTTTCCGACTTCTCTGTCTGTCTCTCTACCCCTTCCCCTCCTACGTTAAGAGGATCGCCCCATCGCTACAACTCCCCCCTGGAGATGTTCAGCTTGCCATACCTCTTATGATACGGCATCAGGGAGCTCCTCGAAACGACATCCACATTTTTCAGCGTGTACAAATAAAATTCGATATTCTCAAATGAGTAAAAAGTAATGTACCCCAACCCCTGTATATGAATGTCGTAACTACCACTGTCCCGATCGACGCACGGATTTGTAATATTAAAATAGCAATCTTTGAAATTGTTCAGTTGGTCAAATCTTTCTACTGAGAAAGGGGGGTAAAGAAATCCGCTGCTTATCTTCTCCCTCAAAAATTTCCCTGCGTCTTTGGAGAAGTTTTTCCTTTTAATGATTGGAATTTTTTCGGACATAAAAAAAGACATAATGGCATAATACTTCTTAATATTTAAAATGTGAAGGTACACAAGTCCCCCGATAAAAATGTAATCATTTTTATTTATGTACATGGATGACACTTTCTTCTTCAACTTTGTGCACACCACGTATTTCATTTCATCAAAGTTGAGACAAGAAAGAAGCGACTGGCTGGAAATAATTCCTGGGGTGTCGTTAATGGTTATGTGTTTGCTTAACTTTATTTGTATATTTTTCAGAGTTGTTCCTGGAATGATGCTGTTGCTAATTTGGAAGTTTTGGTTGTCTTTTTTTTTTACATTCTTCAGTAGATAATTAATGAGGGAAGATTTCCCGCTGTTGGCATTTCCGACGATGTAGATGTTGACGTTTTTGAGGAAGAACTTGTTCTTTTTGCTCGATGCTTCTCCCGGGGGGGCCAGTTCACCGAGCTCGGCACGCTTAACCTCATCACCGTCCACTTCGCTATCGTCATGGTCAGAGTCACCATCTACTTCGTCATAATCACCATCCACTTCGTCATAATCACCATCCACTTCGTCATAATCACCATCCACTTCGTCATAGTCATCGTCACCCTTCACTTCTCCCTTATTAGTTTCTCCCTTATTAGCTTCTCCCTTGTTAGCCTCTCCCTTGTTAGCCTCGCCTTCGTTACCATGGCCGCTTTCCGCTCTGCCCCCATCGCGGCGTCGCTTCCCCCTTTTGCGCACGACCCTGCTCCTCACATAAACCGTGTAAATCAGGTTCTTCACATTGTAACCCGTCTTCGCGCTCACCAAAAAGATGTTCCGAAACGGCACATTTATCTTATTGCTCCGTAAAAAATTGTGCACGTAATTCTTAACAGTGAATTCTTTATAGTCAGGTAAAAGGTCAACCTTATTTATGCAAAAGAAGAAGCCTTCACTTTTCCCCTTATCTGAGTGCATCTTATATAAAAAAAATAAATTTCGCAAATTAGAATAAATATACAAGTCTAAAATGTCTACAATGTAAATTATAAAACATCTTTTCTTGAAAATATTTATTACGTACTTTTCAAAATCTTGGGCACTAATTTCGTTCTTATTTGTGTAATTAATTATCATGTTTTCCTTTATGTCATTTTTGTATCTCAAATTGAAGCATCTTTCGCACAAGTAGAACTTCTTCTCTTCATTCGTCTCCTCTCCTGTTGATTGCCCTACATTGACTTGTATGATGCTGCTGCTTTTTCCCTGTGTGCTGTCGCATTTCGAAGATTGGACCCCCCCATAGAGGTCGCTTCCATCCACAGAGATGCCACTTCCATCCTGAGAAAGGCCACTTCTATCCTGAGAGGTGCCGCTTCCATCCTGAGAGGTGTCGGCCCTCCCCAGCTGCACAACCTTGCTGATGGCTTCCCCTCTCAGTTTGTGAAACTCGCCCAGCAGCTTCTGCTTGCGGTTCTGCTCCTCAGGTTGGCCGCCCAGTTGGTGAATCAGCTTGCTGCCCAGCTGAGCGAACAGCTTCTCCTCCCCTTGACCAATCAAATCTCCCTCCTTTGCACACTTCTCCTCCGTCCCTCCTTGGTAAATATGGCGCAGTATCTCCCTCTTGTCAAAGCCCTCATCCCTGCTGACAACCCTCTCGTAGACATGTCTCTTCAAGAAGCCGAACCTCTTCTGGTCAGACGACTGAAAGGGTATTCCGCATCCCACGCACATGTCCCTACTCAACTTCACTTCGATTCTCATGTTTTTAAAAAATTCTTCGATCTTTTTCTTTTCCTCGTCTTGTTTCTGGTCTTCCTTCTGTGTAGGTTCTTCAGTGTCCACTGCGCCTCTTCCTTCAGAGCGATCTAACCGATATGATTCTTCATTTAAGTTCTTGCCTTTTAGTATTCCTTTAATTTGCCTTTCGATTTCTTTATCATCTGCGTCGCTCAGCCCTGTTTCTTCTACACGGGCATCCTCCGCCACTGCGCCCTCATATCCACTTGCCTGTCGTTTCCTGTTGGACTTCCCCTTCAATTGGCTCTTTAGTTGCTTAAAGGCTTCCTCATAGTTTACCACGCTCAAATTTTTTTTTACACTTTCTTGTGCTTTTTCTAGACTTAAAAAATCGTTTACTCCTCTTTGCCTCTCCAGCATTTTTTCCAGATAGTTTTTGCTTTTCTCATGACTCCTATTTTGTTGGCGTCTTAGCTTTTCTATCACTTGGCTGGTCACTTCGTCATTGAACAGGTCAGTCGTGTTACTTTCCGAGCCGCTGCTATTCCTCTCGTCTCCTTCCCCATGTAGCTCCATAATGTTGTCTATGTTTTCAAAGCGCAGCAAATCTTCGTCCATTTCGTCGCTAAACGGGTCCTTCTCTTCCTTCTCGCTGCTGACCAAATCAGCATCCTCGGCGTGTTTTTTTTTCTTCTTCCTTCCCCTTTCTTGCTTTTTTTTCCAACTTTCTTCGGCACTTACCTTTGCATCAATGGAAAGCGCCCTCTCTAGACGTGGTGGCAGATGGGTCATCCCATTTCTTACTTGTGGTACGAAAACGTTTCGCTCCCTAACGTTCCAAAAGGCACTTTCCCTCCTCTTACCGCCTGAAAAACCATCACGATGGCAAGACAATTTAAAATTTCTTTCTCCTCCTTTGAGTCCATCACCTTCCCTTCCAAACATCGAACAGTACCTACTCTCAACCAAACACCTGTGCACAATTTTGTCGAAGTTGAAGAATTGGTCTTCCTCGTCAAATGTGTAATTTTTTAAAAACTCCTCACCCGACACAAAGCAGAGATCTTGCTTTATCCTGTCCAACCGACTCAGGATGGTTACACTTAAGTTCGAATTGTTGCACCTCAACTTTGTAATTAAATCCTCATAGCAGTTAATTTCTTTCCTATTGTTTACGAAAAGTTTGTCTTTAAACGAAATATAGTCGTTGTTTGAGAAGTCTCCTTCTCCCAGCAAGTGGTAAATCTTTCCATTCGCCCTGTCCTCGTTCGCGCGCACGATTTGTCTGTACCTGTCGCTATCGATTAGTACGTCATCGATGTCGCCTCCCCTCTCGCCATCCATCTGATCATTCTCCTTCTCATCGTAATTGCGAAAAAAGCTGTACTTCATCTTTCCACTTAGCACATTTTCTCCACCTTTTTTTTCCTCTGGCTCTACCCCACAGATGTGACTAATTTCCACCTTCTTCAACTCGTAGCAATGTAAGTCTTCTTCCCATACCTTCAGGTAGCCATACAGCAAAGGGTATGCATCGATTTCGCATACTCCCTTTTTCGCCACAACGGAGCCATTCATTTCCCTAATGATGCTTTGCTTTCGTGCAAATCGCTTCTTGTAAGGCATCTCATAGAGTTCCTCAAAATTTACCTCTTCGAATATTCCCTTGAAAGCGCCTCCTCTAATCAAATCGGAGTCGGATAAAACGTCCCCACCGCTGACGCGATTGTACATTTTCTTTATGCCCTCCTTTATATCATCTGGTGATTTCGTTCCTACCCCCTCGTAGGCTATCACACCTAGGTCCGTCCTAAACTCGCACGCGTATTTGTTATCGTACACGAATTTTATCAGGACGACATTGCCCTGGGGTTTCCCCTCTGCGTCGCCACTTGGGTCTTCCACTGACGCGTCACTCTTTATCTCCACTGATGGGTCACCCTCTTCTTCCATCTTTGTCTCCTTGTTTATCAACGCGTACGAAATTCCATTCAGGAATTCCATGCCAGCCTTTCTGGCACTCCTCCCCTCCTGGTGCTCCTCCCTGCCCTGGAATCCTTCCTGCCTTCGCTCGTCCTCTCGTCCCGAGAAATCTTCCTGCCCCCCTCGCCGTCCCTCGCCCCCAGCATCTTGGCTGCCTTGGTCTGTACTTCCAGGGGAATCTTCAACTCCAGGGCCACCGCTGCTGTCACCGCTGGTGTCATCGCTCCTGTCGACGCTACCCCCATGGCTGCCACCCCCACTGCTGCTACCCCCATCTGGGGAGTCCCCGTCGGTTTCCGGTCCATCCCCCAGATCAACCCCCAAATGATCACCATCCCTTTGCCCACTCTTGTTCAACCCGTTGATAATATTTCCATCTCCCCTGGTTTTTTTTTTCCTCTTTTTCGTTGCCACCTCCGAGGTGCACTCCTCATCTGAGGTGAACTCCCCATCTGAGGGTACCTCCCCGTGGTAGAGGATTCTCTCGACCTCACTCACCCCCCTGCTCTCCTCCAAGCTGCCTAGACCTTCCATATACTGATCAAATGACGTGGAGGCATTCCTTACATGAATTTTCTTCTTCTTGTGCATATTTCTTTCCTCGTGTTGGACAAACTTCTGTAGTTCCATCACGTTTGCTTTCTCTTGGCACTTATCAAACAGGGCCTCACTTAGCTTATCGTAAATTTTGTGTATATCGATCCCATTCTTTACGAAAACTTTTTGAAATGTCTCTTTTCCGAAGAAAAGGTCTATATAAGGTTCAATATGTTTAATTTCCATTGTATTGAATTCCATCATTTTAATATACTCGTCCAATTTTTCATTTTCTTCTTTAGTGTTTTTGTTGTCGATATTTATGTTGACTTCTTCCTCTGTCTCTTCGTAGCCGCCTTCATTTAGGGGTCCTCCTAAATGGGGTTTGCCTGTTTCATTCTGTCCCCTTCCGTCGCGTCCGCTACCCCTCTCACGAACTATGCCTTCTCCCATCGTACCCATTTCTACCCCCCTTCCCTTGAACTTCCTCCTGCTGAACTCTCTCTTCTGTTTCTTCCTCTTTTTCTGAAGCTCCTCATTCACGTCATATTCAAAGTTCACCAACTTTAGGATGTTCATAAGGCTATAGTCAAAGGGGTAGTCAAAATGTTCTGTCTTTTTCTCCTCCCTTATTTTTAAAAACTCTATGACTATATTGGTGCAGATGCAGGCTAAGATCGAGATCAGCTCGCTCTTCTTCATGCGGCAGCTTTCGTCGAAATTTTCCTTAAACACTCTTTCAAAGTTTTCGGAGAAAAGTTTGCTTCCGCGCTTTTCGCGCGTGCAGTCACCTGCAGCTGGGCTGCTCAGATGGGTTTCACCGGCGTCATTTCCACCACTATCATTCCCATTCCGTGGAAAAAGGGCCACTCCCCCATTTGACTTAAAAAAACACCTTGTAGAAGAATTGCCCCCCTTCTGCCTAGCCCACCTGTGCACACCCCTCCTCCCGGAGGCACATATTTTCTGGGGAAAATAAAACACACCCCTTTTTCTGTTGCGCTGTATTTTCACCGCCTTCTTCTCGTCATTCTTGCTAAAACCTCTTATGTGCGAATTCACGAAGAACACATTTTCAAAATACTTATTTTTTAAAAAATACGAATGACACTTTTTGCAGGTGATAAAAACATGAACAAGGAAAAATACCGCTAACTTCAAAAACATTTTCTTCCTCTCTGCAGACGAATTTTCAACCAAGGGGGGAAAGAAAAAGCATACTAAAAGAAGCAGATTACTTTTCTCCCCTCCATCTCATCTGTTCATTTTTATCTTCTGGTGTTAGTTTATGTCCATCTTGCTCTCTTAAATGATATAAATTCGCATATCTTACCCCATCATCTCAGCCTTTCCATTTTCTCCCTCCTCCAGTCGCGTGCTAAGAGTGGCTGCACGACGTGCTGCTAACCCGTGGATGCGAAAAATGTGCCCCTACAGCCCACGCAAGATTGGCTTCCTGCTTCTCTTGCAGAGAGGATCCTGTGACGGCGCCGCAAAAGAAGTGTACGTATTTTCCCACCCAACCCCCAAAAAAAAAAAAAAAAAAAAAAAAAAATAATAAAGAAAGAAAGAGAAAGAGAGAGAAAGAAAGATCTAAAGAAAGAAAGAAAAAATAATTTTTCAAATGCACAAAGTGCCATCAAGCAGAAGAAAAGTGACGTACTTTCGCAGCCAACTTTTTTTCCTTTTTCCACGCCAAACTGCAAACAGAAAGGAGGAAGCATAAAATGCAGAAAACAATGCAAAAAAATGTGATGCGGCGCAGAACACGATGCCAAATCCCGTAACGCGTGACCGACAGGAACAACAAGAATAACACAACATGAAGCGCGATGAGAAGGACAGCACGAGAGAAGGTCCTCGCCACCTGCAAGGACGCCAAATGGTGACACAGGGCTACCACGCGAAATCGACAAATCAGGGAAAAAACCAAAAAGGGGAAAACAAAAACGAAGACGAATTAGAAAAATTTACGAAGAAGAAACCAATCCCCTGCGATGAATTGTCCACTTCTTGGGGAAACTCGAACAATGCCGAATCGAAGCGGAATCTGCAAAACCTGCTGGGGTCGTACTACTCCAGTGATGAAGAAAGCGAAGAGGCGTCCCAACAAAGAGAGGACCTGACGCAGGGAGGTGCCCCTCGCCAAAGGGGAAAACATCAGGGGGACACTCAAAGCGATAGTGAAGCCGAGGAGGAGGATAACACTGATAATGATAATCATAGTGATGATATTCCCGATGATGAAGGTGAAGCGCTGCAGGGAAAGAAGCAAACACAACAAAGTAGAGGGCATCACGGGAAGATCCCAAAGGAGAAGGAGGAAGAACAGCCCACTTCACCCCTGCGAAGTAATCCCGAGGGAGAAAAAACCAAAATGAATTACCAAGAGGAGGAACCAGCTAGCCAACACCAAAATGACAAAAAAAAAAGACGTACATCCCCCTCGCCACAGAATAAGTGCCAAAGGAAAAGTGAAAGCTCAAGCCAAAATAAATCTTCACATATGGTTGGAAAGATTGACTACAATATAAAAAATTCGCAAAGTTCATTGCATAGGGGATATAATGCACGCCCCAGTTGGGGAGACAACCCTACGCAGGAAAACTGTCAGCAGCCCCCGTGGGACAGGAAAAGCTCTTTTCAGAATTTCAATTCAGGTCTAGGTAGGCAGTACCCATATGATGGCAGTGGCCAGTATGTGTATAACTGCGGCGTACCTACCGATCCGAAGGGAAGCCTAAATAAACTGTCCCTCACCAACTTTGGCTTTTCAACGAAGAAAGAAATCAACGTGGATCTGGAAAACATCCCTGTGATAGACCAGAGACAAATTCTCAGCGATTGGAAGCCCACCATGCCAGAGGAAAAGAACAGAAGTCAGAAATATAACATAAAGACAAAGGTGTACAATGCAGCTAGCAACACCTTCGATAAGGTAATCATTCACGGGAATAAACAAAAGCGGAAACATCAGATAAACTGGCTAGCAAAAGAAGCTGTGGAAAAGGAATACGAAATTTTGCAAAAGACAAATTACAGCAAAAGAAGGACCACGAACGATAAATATGGGTGGTAAAAATGGGATGCTCTCTCATCCATTTGGGATTTTTATGTGTACATTTTTTTTTTTTTCCCTTTTTTTGGTAACCCCCCCTCCTTCCTCCCCCCCTGTCATCCGTTTCCCTTCTTTTTGTGGTTTTTTGAAATGCCACAGTTGTGTAGTGATTCCTCTGATGTGCCCGTTTTGGCATTGTCACCTGGGAAAGTGTATCCTCTTCCCCATGGCAGAGCTAAGCCCTTTTTTTTTAGTAAACGTTTTTTTTTTTCCTCCTTTCACTTTTAAAGTCACAAAATTTGAAATGTTTTCACCTGAGAGTGAATGCCAAACGGGTGGGGACACACCGTAAAAAACCTTCAGATAACCTAGCACAAGCGCAAGGTCGGTCGGACTGTCTTCCCCAGCTAATGCAGTGGCAACTCTTTGGCTGCGCTGACAATTTCCTCTAAGGTGAAGATGCAATGGATTCTACATCAGTATAGGTGGCTACTAAATTGGTTATTCGTTTTTACGAGAAAATATGAACAGGAAAAAAAAAAAAAAAAAAGACGCAAAACAAACGCTATTGTATTTCTCGAGGCACCTATATCAACAATGTGATAAAGTAAAAAAGTGCACAAGGGAAAAAGCACATCTATGGATAGGTGTTCAATTGAACAATTATTCGCGTAATTAACCATTTCCACAAATGCGTAAATGTAAATGTGCCTTTTTCCCGTATTGTGGCTCCAATTAAGCGTAACAGCTCCAGTAAGAAAAAAAAAAAGGTCACCAATCCGGGTGGACTGACACTTTCCACGCGAACAGTGTTCAGTTGAGTAATTCTTATTTATATTTACTTCCAATCATTAGGTGTCTGCCCCCATTTACACTTTTTCGCATAAACTTGGTGGAACCCACGAAGGGGATACAGATATGTTAACTCATTCTATACAACATGACATCACTCTCTGTGTGTGTAACTATGTCACAAAAAAACTTCTCCAAATATGGTACTTGAAAAGAAAAATCCAATTCGCTCTTTTCCATTTTTATGGGCATGACAAAAAAAGGGCACCACCGAGAAGGTAATAGGAGAACACGTAGATCATATTCTCCCTTCCTAAGCCACAAATAACAAGTTTTGCCTCATGCAGCCGATGTAAACACACCTGCGGTGAGTTCCACACAGTATATTCAGTATACTGTATCAATCGAAGTATTAACGTTCCTTTGAAAAAACATATGTAAGAAAAAGAATTATATCAGTATGCTTCACCATTTCGATGCTATGTAAGTCTTCTTCGAAGAAGTTTTTTTCCCTTCAGTGCCCACACTTTTTTATGGCATTATATGTAGAAGAACTATTTCATTGCACCCCCTATTTCCCCCATCCCAAGGGGGGAAAAAAAAGACAAATGTTCATTCCTCCTGTGACTTCTCCGAATCATCATCACCTCCTGAAACTTTGTCTATCAAATATTTGTAAAACTTAATAATTTCATCCGATTCGTACATAATAAAATCATGTATCTCGAGAGCTGGGACCTGAATTTTTCCTCCTTTCTCATTCAGTTCTGCGAAGAAAATGCTTCTATCAATGGAACTTCCCTTGTTAATATTTTTCATTAAAACGACAATTGGCTTCTCCGTCTTGACTAACTCTTCCAAATTGCTATCCTCATGAAAATCAATAATTTCGACATTTTTGTTGTCCTTTATAGAATCCGTAATTTTTGAGCAGTAGGAACATACAGAGCTGTGGTAAATATAGGTTATGTATTGGGTCTTCACTGGCTCTCCGTCTATCTTCGTCATTAGCTCCTTCGCATTGCTAATCACTTGGCGCTTCGGTTCTGGGTTACCGCCACCCCTGCCATTTTTGGGCTCACTTCGACAAAATCCTAGGAAGGAAAAAACTATAGCCAAAAGGAGAAACGCGTTCATGGTGCTCTATTAAAAAATTGAGTAAACAGAAAAAACGTAAAATTGTCGCTAATGTGATAAACACCTCAACAGAGAGTGAATGAACTATAAATAAACACTGTGGCTAAAAAAAAAAGAAACAAAAAAAAAAAAAGAAAAAAAAAGAAACTCCTATAACGGCAATCGACTAATTCGCGTTTTGAATTCTTAAATGTAGCGCACTGAAACTTAGTTCAATTTTTTTTTTTTTTCAAACAATTAATTTTTTTTCTATTTTTGCGAAGGTTCCCTAACATTAGGTTTCACTTCACTCACATTGATGATTTTTTAATGGTAGTAATTTTTTAACCGTTGTGGCAAATTTTTGCCTCTTAATTTTTAATATTTTTTCTTCGTGAAAATTTGCATGTGCCACATGTAGTACACGACTGGTCACGTGTACCCCCGTGCGTTCACCTCAACTGCGAGATGTATCTACACTAAACGGATTGCCCCTCTAAAAGTCGGCATCTAAACTGCGCACCTAACTCGCGCGCACAAAACGGTATACACAAACGGGTGATGACGAAGAAGAGGAGACGAGCCACTGCGTGCAAGTGCAAAAAAATTATTCATGAGCTTCTAACTACATGGAACTTAATACATCTACGCACATATCTACGTGAATATATATCTACGTACATATCTACGTACATATCTACGTACATATTTACGTACATATCTACGTACAAATCTACGTACATATCTACGTGGATATCTACACGCAGATCTACACGCGCATCTACACGCCTATCTACGTACGTGTGCACTCGTGTGTTAAGTTACCCGGCCGCTTGGCATCCCTCACGCAGAGGGATTGCACCGAATAGAAAACAAAAAAAAGGTAGTATACCCAAAGTCCCATGTCCTCTTCTTGCGTGATTTGATTAGATTCTCGGAAAAATGAAAAAAAATAGGAAAAAGATAAAAAAAAAATAAACAAATAGTAAAATAAAATAAACGAATAATAAAACAAAAAGAAGCAATTTTAGAGTCACCTCAAAATTGAACACTAGCCTATTTTCACAAATCGACAGAGGGCTCCCAGTAAGGACTCGAACTGCTTCGCCGGGGTATGGGGCATGCAGGCAACGGCGGAGAACCCAACAAAAAGGGGGAAAAAAAAAAGAAATTTAAGTAACGTAAAATAAGGTGGAAAATGAGTGCACAGAGAAGCGCCACGTGAAACGAAAAAATGTAAGAAGTCGAAAAAGCGAAACGCAGAAAAATGCCAAATGCGAAGTAACGGAATAACGGAATAACGAAATGACGAAATGTCAAATGGCGAAGCGCCGAAACATTTGCGGACAGTAAAGTAAGGTCCTCTCAGGTGAACCTGAACAAAAAATAAAAAGAAAAAAATTTTTCACCTCGTCCTTAATTCACTTATGTAAAAACATATAGCTTCTGCTAGGCACACAAAAAATTTAGCCCCTCGATATGGGGTGCGATTCTTCATGGGCAAAAAAAAAGAGGTAACATTTCTTTATGTACATGCATGTATACTGAGGGAAGCGCACATATTATATCTTCTACAGTTGCAGCTTTTACAATGCTTCTCTCTTTTGGGACGCGCTTTTTTCTTCTCCCCTTCAACCAGGTCTTAAGATCGTGTTCCCATATATGCAACATGCATATTCATTCGTTCATATGGAGAGATTTGTTCCCATGTTGCATGTGCCCGCATGCGTGAAAGCACCTTTACATGCAGTTGTTTTTCAATCTGAACGACGCGGGATAAAGAGGCTCCACAAATAGCCCATCAAACCTTCGCAAAAGCGAATTGCTAACACCCCGCTGTGTCAAACAAGCTTTACGAATTTTTTTTTACAACTGGCGCATTTGAAAATGCACCCCTAAAATGAGTCAAACGGAGTTTTGCAGATATTACACACTGGGATGTTCGGAAGTACCCACCCACCTGCAAAAGAGGAAGAGGCGGGGGTAGAGGCAAACGTATCCGTAAAGACAGACGTATTGGTAAAGACAAACGTATCGGTAAAGGCAAACGTATCGGTAAAGGTAGCGGCTGGCTAGCATGAACCACGCACAGGTTAAAATGACGACAAAAGGGTTAAAAAAAAAGGCGCACACAGAAAAAAAAAAAGTGTAAAATTTATTATATGCATATATTTGTACCCACAAAATGGCGCTGCCAGTGGGCGTACCGCCACGACCACCATGCTGTCTCGCTGCGAAAAATCTAGGATGAACAAAAGACACTTCCAAAAGGAGGGGAAGCAAAAAAAAAGAAAAAAAGGATAGGAGAAATCCTCTCGCCAACATCGCATTAAATTACACACTTCAAAAAGCTGCCACTTTTTGCGAAATGGAGATCTCCGTTTAGCAACTCTTTTAAATTTTGATACAGAACTTAACATGGCGCACCAAATGGTACCATCTGAACGTCTTTCTTTTTTTCCCCTGCAAGTAGGGATACATCACCATAGCGATAAATCACTGCAGCAACACATCACTGTCGCTTCTTTAGCCCCACCGCACTATTCTCACTTATTCTTCGAATTCATACCCGTCCCGCTGAATGAATAATTACTTCCCATCTCGTCTGGCAACTGATTACTGAACCCATTGGAAAAGCCACCGTCCTTGAACCGCTTATCCTCGTCCCCCACATACTCCACCACGTACGCGCTGATCCCATCGGCTGAGCACGCACTGGGGCTCCTCGAACGGAGTGCACACGCGCCGTTGTTCATGCTGGTCATCGTCTTCATGCTTGCCATGTTGCTGGCGTAGCTCATCCTTTTACCGTTCCGCGCACCGCTGCCATTCCTCATGCTGTCCATATGACGCATACTTTTTTGATTACCCCAGCCCGCCATTACTCCCGCCTTCCCCCCGACCACACACTCAGGCACATTCGCGCGAGCACTGGATTCGTATCTCCTTAGGCATTGGCCACCCGAAGAATTGCGGACCATATTAGTTGCACTCTCGGATGCTCCCTCAGGTGTTCCCTTATTTGTCTCCTTAGATGCCCCCTGCCCTGCCTGCCCGTTCGCAACCCCGCTCCTTTCGAACACTGGGTTGCTACTGGCAAAGCGGCGCTGCAAATTGGAGCTCTCTGCAAATCCCTCTGGTAAGTCGTTACTGCCTTGTTCGGCACGGTTGGAACCATTTCGCAAAAAGGGTAAACTGGATCTTCCATCCTTCCTCCCCGTGTCGCAGTTGGCGTTGTACATAGAAATAGGCGGTGTGAAATTTCGGTGCAACCCCTTCTGGTTAGAAGGACTCTGTAAACCCCCCGCGCCGACAAACGGAGCGTTCAAGCCGCTCCCCCGGCCTACACCGTTTGAGTAAAAGTCGACACCGTATGGTGTGTCCATCTTGGCTACATTCACGTTGGCATTGGGACCACTGTTCAGGCTCTTGGAGAAGTGCAGGCCGCCGGCACCGCCGATGCTGCCGATGCCCATGCTTCCCATCCCGCCGATGTTGCTTCCCATCCCGCCCACACTGACGGAGCGCTCCAAGTTGAAGCTGCCCCCGTTCACCAGGCTGAAGAGCTCATTTCTCTTCGCCGCGTCGAATGCATTCAAGTCCAACTTCCTGGCGTAAACGGAGCACCTACCGTTGCTCATGCCATTCTGCACATCCTTAGGGACAACCCTGTCGTGCGTAACGATGTAAGGCTTATGAATGGGAATTTCGATCACCTTCTTCCCCCCATATTTATACACAGGCTTCACCGTCTTAGAAACAGGCACAACGACGGGGTGGTCGACATACTTGTTTATATAAAACGGCTTGTCAATAACTTTTATCTTCGGAACTTTCACAGGAACAGGAATGTCAATCACTTTGGGGATCGTCTTAACGAGCTCGACCGTCTGAATTTTCGGCACATAACGTATCTTCTCAATAGGCACATCACGGTACTTTATGACCGGAACATAATTGGGCTCTTCGATAATTTTGCGAATTGGTACCTTCACCTTTCGGATCACCTCATTTGGAATTTCGACAATCTTCTTCACCGGCACCGTCTTGATTACCTCCCCTATATCGTCATAGCTTTCGTACTTATTGACAATCTTCACCACGGGCACTTCAATATACTTAGGAATAATCTTCGTTTCAATTTTATTTTTGTAAATTATACGCTCTTTAATTTCTGGCTTCTCCACAACCTTTACCACTTCTTGCAATTCTGGCACCTCCACAATTTTGTCCTGGAAATGAAACTCAGGAACTTCTACCCTCGTTTCTACATATTTATTGATAGGCTTCTTAACCACTTTCTCCACTTCTTTAACTTCATATTTATTTATATACTTGTTTACTTTGTGCACCACAGGAACTTCCACAATTTTTTCTACTATTTCTACTTCCCTATATTTCGGGATTTTAATCGTATCAAATCCTTCATGGACAATTCGCTTATCCAACACGTGGGTGGTGTGTGTTGCTCGTGAATAGTCCGTGTGCGATGTGACCTGTTCACAGAGGGAGGACACCTCATTTTTTACCTTCTCACTTTGAACCATCTCGTCCGCTTTCACCACATTGTTGAGGCTATCCGGGGCAGCTTCCTCCTTCTCCGCGGTGCTGCTCTTAAAATTGAAATCCGCGTGGTTGAGAAATTCGGCCGTCTTGAACTTCAGCATGTCACCCCCACCGGGGAGAACACCCGTGGTGCTGATTCCCCCCGCAGCGACAGATGCAGGACCAACTAACGATGGCGATACAGGGCCACCTAGGGATGGCGATGCGAACCCACCTACCAATGTGGGCGCGCCATTCCCAAACGTGTTGTACACGTTCCTTCTACTCAACGGAGGTCCCAAATTAACCCCTCCTCCAAGGGACGCACTCTCGCTAGCATTATTTACATCATAGGAGCCCTTGTCAGACAAATAAGCATTCCCCTTACTCTCGTAATTCGCCAAAGTCCCTATTCTGCTGCTCTCGTTACTGCCTATCGGAGTGTGACTAGTGTACATATTTGTAAAGTTCATTTCATTTGCTACACTAGAAGGGGTGAATCTCTCATTTGCCGTTGCTTTGTATGCCTCTGCTCCCTTCGCCAAGGGGTGCTCAACGATGTTCGGATGTACAAAGGGCGGGGGGATGTAGCTAGACTTCACACCTCCGCTGAAGGTTATGTTTTTCTGTTCATACGAGTTTAGGATATTTGGATTTAATCCCAAGTTAGCGCTGGGGTAGGCCCCGAGGTAGTCACCGTGGTAGGTTCCACAATTGTCACCGTGGTAGGTTGCCAAATTATCACCGCGGTACGTCCCCCAATTGTCACCGTGGTAGGTCCTCCCCAGGGTGTCACCTCGGAATGTGCCTAGATCGCTACTCGCGTACGCGTTCGCCCCCACGTGGTCGCCCCCTTGCGCGCTTAATATATTCGTCGAAAAATGCTTCAAGTCCCCCTTCCTACCTGGGATCATAAACCTCTCATCATATGGACTGAAGCTATAGCCCCCTGAGCAGGTCAAACTACCGCTTGGGTAAGAATTTAACACTTCAGGTGTGTTATAATAACCGAGATGACTTCTACCGGGGTCAGCCTTGCTGGGCTCATACACATACGAGAAATCGTCCTTAACGGTGCTATATGAATTACCCTCCGTGCTTAGCAAATTGTCCTTAAACGAAATCGTGCGAGGCAATCTTCCAGAAAAATCAGAACCTGTTATTTTTTCAACTCTACTTAAAATATGTGGGCTATTTTCTCCGATATTTAAAAATTCCGTGCTGTTTCTTTCTGTTTTTATCTCTGTCTTGCTGTCCTGGTTGTCCATACAATCCTCAACTATGATACTGTTGGTCTTGCTCGAAATTTTGCTTTCATCCAACTGTATGCTGCTCCTTTTAGACTTCCCTACTGACGTGTTACCATGTACTTTGGCGTCGTTTCCTTTGTCCAGAATGTTCACTTCGCTCAACTTGTGTTGCGAATGCTTCCTACTTGACTTGATAGTACGCCCCTTGGACTTCGTCTTCTGATCTGATACGAACGAACTTGTATTATTCGCATCTAACGTTCTTGTAATGTTTGGCTTTTTCGACAGATCCAAGCTGACATTACTACTGCTGTTCGATCCTCCTTCTCGGTCCTCGGACGAATCCTGTGAAGCGTTAAAAGATGCGATGTTTATTTTTTCTTTCAAATTTGTGCACGTCGGAACGGAGCGGTAAAGAAGCATCGAAAGAGAAGTATTCCATAGGAAGCAAACTAGAACGCGCCGGCATGCAGATGGAAAAGAATCGCCCCATCGTTCTCTTCAATCTGATGCGTTCCATTTTGCGTAGCAGATGCACAAAACGGGGCGCAATTTTTCTATCATTACACAGAACTTGGTGGAAGTAACGGAGTCTTTGGATAGTTTCTTTTCCAGTAATATCCTGTTCTATAAGAAAAAAAAGGAAAAAACATTAAGATAAAATAGAGTAAAATAAAAAAAGACAAAACGAAACAAAACGAAGCAGCACCACCAAGGGTAGCAGCCCAATCAGGCGGTGCTCATGCAAAAAAGCATGCATAACAAAACAAAACGTGCTATCAAATGAGCCTATTTTTTTCCAAATAAATCAGATTCACATTTCGTTAGGGAAAAAATGAAAATTTTTTTTTTACTTGTTCTCGCTTTGTTCTGTCAATCTTTGTCGTACTTTTCAGCATATTGACAAAATGTTTGCTACTTGAGGGTTGTTTAAACGTCTAGGTGCGAAGCTCGCGTGTGCATATGCGTACGTACACAAGCATGAACATATACTTACGTACGTACATACATACATGCACGAACATGGACACATACAGGTTGGCATACGCGCATACTTTCATATGTACGCACTTATGCTAGCGGAACGGTCCCTAGTTCTGACAACGTTCTGACAACGTTCTGAACACTCTGTTCCTTGACACTATCTCCACCTTTTTCGTATGTTCAAAGGATACAACGGATTGGTCAAAAAGGGCAGTGTAATAGTGCACGCAAAATGTTTCGCGCTGACAACGAGGTGATGTTGTATACGTTGCTATCGCGAGAGAGGACATTAAGCAAAAAGGGGAAAAAATGTAACACGCATGAGGTAAGAAAAGAAAAAAAAACGGGAAAAAATGCATATAACAATAAAACATAATCCCTGCTTACAGAATGTTCTCTTTCAAATGTGGGAAAAATAAAAATAAACAATATTCACAAAAGGGCGCTTAAAACTAGGAGAAGGCGCTATAATAAC